GTAGCTTGACAGGAAAGGGGGCAGAGATAGAGAGGGGGAAACCTGCAAGGGCCGGAATCGGTCCACCGGGAGGGATTTCTGTCCGGTTTTTGGGTTGTTCGGGCTTCTTTTTTTCGGGCTCAGAGGCTCACGTCTGTTTCTCTTTTCGTCCCCTGCAAAGCTCGGAGAAAAGCAGGCGGTTTTTCCCGTTTTTTCCGTTTTTTTCCTCGTTGCCGCGGCTTTTTTTGGGGCGACTTGACAGCATGAATGTTCATCTTCGTTTTTTAAGAAACTTTACTTAACTTAAAGTTCTATTTATTTTCATCTCAAAGCAAAACCTATATTGTGTTGATTGATATTGTGTTTTACGTTTTACATAATTTGAGTGCATCTATTGTTTACATTCGATAACCTCGCTCTATCTTAATATATATATATATATATGTGCATCTCTATCTCACATAAAAGTTTTGGAAAAATACAAGATCTGAAGAGACTTTTCGGGTCTTTTCCCTTTAGGAGAGTAGAACCGGGAGGGATTTCTGTCCGGTTTTGGGAGGTTCGGGCTTCTGTTTTCGGGCGAAAAGCAGGCGGTTTTTTTCCTCGCTCTTTATCTTAATATATATATGCATACATCTATGTATACATCTATGTATACATAATATATATACATCTCTATCTCAGATAAAAGTTTTGGAAAAATACCAGATCTGAAGAGACTTTCCGGGTCTTTTTCCCTTTGGGAGAGCAGAGCCGGGAGGGATTTTTTGTCCGGTTTTGGGTTGTTTGTGCTTCTGTTTTCGGGCCCGTCGGCTCACGTCTGTTTTCTCTCTTTTCGTCCGCAGAGTTTCCGCGGGCTGGACGTGGCGGATGGCGTCTCCACGCACGGCCAGAGGGTCCTGGGCTTCCAGCGGCGCCACTCGCTGTGCCCCGTGACGCTGCCCAACTCCAAGTTCAACGGCGAAACGGCGTGCTCCACGGCGCCGTGCTGGGGCCCCGTCCTGGCCTCCGACCGCCAGCTGCCCCGCTCCTCTCTGAGCCACATCCCCTTCCGGGTGGACCGTTCCATTAGCATGATCGAGGGGGGGGTGAGCGCTCGTGAGGAAGTGACTCCGCCCCTCCCCCTTCCACCGCCGCCGCCACCGGGCCTTAGCATCAGCAGCTCCTCGCTAGCCGCCGCCGCCGCGGCCGCCGCCGCCGTTGCCTCGGCGACCGTTGCCACGGCGACCCCGCCCCCGCCCCCCCCTCACATATCGACCCGCTACAAGACGGAGCTGTGCCGCACCTACGAGGAGAGCGGCGCCTGCAAGTACGGCGCCAAGTGCCAGTTCGCCCACGGCGCCGACGAGCTCCGGGGGCTGAGCCGCCACCCAAAGTACAAAACCGAGCCCTGCCGCACCTTCCACACCGTGGGCTTCTGCCCCTACGGCGCCCGCTGCCACTTCATCCACAACGCCGACGAGCTGAGGCCCCGCCCCCACAGGCCCCGCCCCCCGCCGCTGCGCCACAGCCTGAGCTTCGCCGGCTTCTCCTCCTCCCCCCACGGCTTCTCCTCCTCCCCCCAGGGATTCACGCCTCTGGAGGAGCCGCTCTTCGGCCGGGCGTGCTCCGCCACCCCCCCGCCCTCCTCCTCCTCCTCCATGTCTTCCTCTTCCTCCTCCTCCTCCTCGCCTATCTTCCCTAAACCGGGCGCCCTGAGGCCCCGCCTCTTCTCCGGGACGCCGCCGGACTTCTTCCCCTGGCCGGGAATGACGGCGCCGGGAATGGGAATGGCCCCCCCGCCCCCCGGCGGCCTCCAGCGCTGCTCCTCGGCCGACTCCCTCTCCGAGGAGGGCTACGCCTCCTCCTCCTGCTCCCTCAGCTCCTCCTCCAGCGGCGCCGACTCGCCCGGCCTGGAGGGGCGCCGCCTGCCCATCTTCAGCCGCCTCTCCGTGTCCGACGAGTAGAAATCGACGGTATCGGATCAGGGAACTCTGACCGTGTCTCCGGAGGATTGAGACTCGTACCTATCTTTGTGCATATTGCATTTCTCAGCCAAGCAGCTGTAGTGCTGCCCTGTGTTTCGTCCAGTTTTAGCCGACCTTTTCCCCCTTGTTTGTTTGACCCCTCCCGTGTGCTGTACCGCTGTATACTGTTGTATACCCATGTTTTAGACGGCCGGGAGCTTTTAAAGACATTGATGTTCATGCTGCCAGTTGGAGGGTGAAGATCCACCAACTTTGGAGGAGTTGGAGGATCCTCCAACTCTGGAGAATCTTCATCCGAAGTTTGAGGATCTTCAGCTTCCAACTTCGGAGGGGGCTGAAGATCCTCCAACTCCTCTTAAGTTGGAGTGAGAAGATCCACCAACTACCCCAAAGTTTGATGGTTAAGATCCTCCAACTCCTCCCAAGTTTGAGGGTAAAGATCTTCCAACTCCTCCAAAGTTTGGGGCTGAAGATCCTCCAACTCCTTCAAAGTTGGAGGGGGAAGATCCTCCAACTCCGCCGAAGTTTGAGGGTTAAGATCCTCCAACTCCTTCCAAGTTTGAGGGTAAAGATCTTCCAACTCCTCCAAAGTTGGAGACTGAAGATCCTCCAACTCCTCCGAAGTTGGAAGCTGTAGTTGGAAGGTTAAGATCCCCCAACTCCTCCAAAGTGGGAAGCAGAAGATCTTCCAACTCGTCCGAGGTTGGAGGCTGAGGAGGGCGTGTTGATTGGCTGCTGGGCTGTGGCCACCTGATTGTATTTGTCAGCCATTTTAGCTGCCAGTCGACCTGAAATAGCACATGTAGGAAACCCACTGACTCTAGTTACCAAAGCTAACGTTAGAGCTCTCCTAGCCCACTCATACTGTTAACCCTAGCCTTAGCCACCTCAGCCTAACACCTTTTATACCTATTTATTGCTTTTTTACGAGTTTTTTTCATGTATTTGTTTTTTTGGATTCGTTTTCCCGAGAGGCCAGAGAAAGGATTCTTTTTCTTCTCACGTAAACCGGTAGCTTTAAAGAGGTCTGTGGAGGGGAGAGGGAGGCAGGGAGACAAACCTTTTGGCATTCGACATTTTTGTTGCCTTATTGGCCGAAGGGGTCCTCGGGGCACGCGTTTCCTGGCCCCGCCCCCCTCCGACGGGCCTCGCTCCCCCCGACTGTAACGATTCTCGTTTCCTTTCCGGGAAAAACGACGTGACAATGTGTGCTGCACGCTAGTTCCACGGCAGGTGGAACCACGCAAAGCTCGGTTTTTTCCTGTTTTTTCCTCGTTGCCGACGCTTTTTTTTGGGGCGACTTGACAGCAAAATGTTCTTCTTCGTTTTTTAAGAAACTTTTGTTAACTTAAAGTTCTATTTATTTTCATCTCAAAGCGAAAACCTATATTGTGTTGATTGATATTGTGTTTGATGTTTTACATAATTTAAGTGCATCTATTGTTTACATTCCAGCGGTTATGTCGATAACCTCGCTCTTTATCTTAATATATATATGTGCATCTCTATCTCAAATAAAAGTTTTGGAAAAATACGAGCTCAGTCTGGACTCTGATTGAACTCATGTAGGTTTTATTTTGGGCTGTCA